TTAATTATTCAAATTTTTGCTTCATCCAAAGGCTGTTTTTTTATATGCTGTTATTTTTTTTTTATTTTGCGTTTTGTTAACATTTCAATAATATGCCGTCATTTAACCTGAAACAAAATAAGAAAGAATAATTTTTGTAACTTTCTTAAAGCGTGTAACATTTAAAGATGGTATTATTGATTGACCGCTCTTTGTTTTTATTTTCATTCATAATTTGTAAATATGTGCTATATATTTTTCTTTGGTAATATGATATTTTACTGCTATTTTTCCTTTTTTTTATTGAAATTATTTAATAAAATTTATTATCATCTAATTGACCAGAATACATTTTGTATTTACACGATATAATTTGCACAAAATTGACAACAAGGTATGTTTTATTATAATAGTTCATTATTTTTTTTTTTTACTAAATTTTGTCAAAGTAACTGATAGGAGCAAATTTTCGTATTGCAATTCATTGGAAATATGAATTATATATTGTATTAATTTAATTCTATGATATTACAAGAGAATTATAGTCATTTGCATCTGCACCATTGATAACAAACAATGAATGATATGGAAGGGTATTGTTTAATATTTCAGCAAAATTAGAACTTTTATGCTTATATTTTAAGCATTTTACATCAGCGCAAAGACCATCAAAGTTACAAAAAGATGACGCTGCGGCAAAGTTTCCATCGACCATACTGATCACAATCTCATTGATTTGGTAAATGCTAAAAAAAAATTAATTTTTAATTTTTTAAAGTGCAGTTTTTTCTTCTATGATTTTACTTGTAAGTTACAAATAAATTTTTGGTTATATAAAGCGATATTCTTTTTTTTACTCTTTCTATACATTTATTTTAATTTAATTTGTTAGCGTCAAAATTGCATCTTTTTTTATCTTTTCAAAATGAACTTCATTTTTTGCACCATCATCATTTTTATCATAATATTAACTGCGGAATACATGAAATTAATGCTAATACGTTTGAAATCTGCAATTTCAACAACAACATATAACTAAAATATCAAATATTGAAATAAGTAATTTAACATTGCAAAATTTAATTCCCATTAGCACAAAAAATACAAGCATTTAATAAAAATATTCCAAACTTTTCGTTCACGTTTTCGTTCATGTGAAAAAAAAAAATAATAATATTAACAGAAAAATTATCAATTCTTAAATACACATATTATTAATAATTAATTAATCTTTTGGAATTGTAACAAAATAAAAATGAAAACGTCACACTATTTACTCGTTCATTGTCTCATCACAAGACTACCTGTAGCGTATAACTCCATTAAATTTGAAAATGAATTAGCTTGCTGATCAAGACGAATCAGATCTAACAAAACATCATCTTTTACTTTGATGTATTGTCTCACATGCTGACAGTATGTTTGCTTGAAATACATTGTTGTATAAACCCAATAAATTTAACTTTTAATTTAATTGAACTTTAAGTATAAGATTGTCATAGGTATCCATGAATAATGTAACAATTAAATCATTGAATTTCATGCTTTCATTCATAATTTTCATCATTACTGTTCAATCATATTGCACACTAACCAGAAAGTTATGCAGCAACAAATCCATCATCCTATAAAAAATAGATCGATAAGATTTTAAATTGATTTTGAATGAAAAAAAAACTTAGTCGAAAAAAATTTGTCTTTTTGTATAATTTTGAATTTTTTATAATTTTATACAATCAAAAGATAGTGAGAAATTATAGCGCATACAATTTTTTTAAATGGATATTTTATGCAATTTAAGTAATTAGCATCATTTTATAAATTTTCAGAATTGAAATTTCCTCATTAACAGGCATATTTTGCAATACTAAACAGTTATGAAATTTTTTCAAAAATTGACGATAAATTTTATTATCCATAAATTCTGCATACTTTTAGAAATTAGTAATAACTTCTTTTTGAGAAAACATTTATCCTTCGCCGACAAGTCTGTTTCCTATAACTGAGCAGCTTTTTCCTTTTTCAAAAATTACATCCCTCAAGACATTTGAATTACTGGAATTAAACCACGTATCGCGGATTGCGTTACGGATATTAAAACGATGCTGTCCCTTGAAATGATTGCAATCAAATATTTTGGTCCTCCTAAACAACCAAAAAACGAACAAAATTCCATTATTTGTAATTAATTAATATATTTTGATTAAATGCTATTATAATTAATGCAATGTTTAAGTGAAACATTATTTATTACTAAAGTCACAAGCATTATTTCCTTGGCTTTGCATGCTAATTGTTATTGGTATTTTAAGTCCCATAATTTCACTATTTATTTGTCTATTTTAGTATAAAATATTCTCGACATTTATGATACACGCATAAATTACAGAAAGAAAGAAAAAAAAATTTAAATCATTGATGAAAAATGAAATTGAAAAGTGAGCAATGTATTTTTTCAAATGATATCATTGTTTGAAATTTTTGATTTGCAGCTTATTATAAATTAAAAATTATGACATATGTACACTTAAGGAGACGTTTTCATGCTTCGACTTTAGGAAGTAGTGCAAGCGATCATTTGATCGTTTCATTCATAAATTCCATTGTAAAATCTTTGCTTACATTAACGTTAGCCCAAAATTCACGTCAATTTTGTTAGGCGTTTTACGGAACAAAGCTATGAATAGCACTAAAAACGAATCTATGAAAAGCATGAAGATGTTAAACTTTGTATCATACTGATAAAAATATTTCTTCAATTTCACTAATTTTATCATTCGTTTAAGTTTTGTAATAAATTGAAAAAATTTTAAATCTCTTCTTTCTGCATACTAAATATAGTCGACCTATCGATCTGTTATGAAAATAAAAATTTTGTTTCATTTGCATGTACACAATAAAAATTTAGACCACATGATTAGTTGGCTAGCCAACATTCTTGTTTCAATTGTTCAGAGTAGGCAATAATTATACCACCATATCCCATAATAGAATATTCCTCAAGATTTCGAAGAAGCATGTTCCACATTCACTCAGAATTTATTTAAATTTTGAAATTTGAACCTTTGTTAAAGATTCAAGAATAACTCTTTCATTCCAACAATAATTTGAAGAAAATGTAATTCAAAAATGTCTTTGACAGAGAGACGCTAATAAAGCTAATAATTTCATCTGCATGATTATAAATTACTGTATTGTGATTGCCTGAATTGTATTTTTATTATCTTGTTTTATTCATTATTTCTTGTTTGAATGTCAGAAGTGGTTGATAGAAATGAAATTTTGAGTAAAGTGTTAAAAAATGAAGTATCCGACAAAATGATACGAAAATACTTTCCGCGAAATTGAAATAAAATATTCCATCAGTCATTGATGAATAACCTAATTTTAAGAAATTTGTCTGAAATAAACTGTTTTTGGACGTTTGTTATAACTTGAATTAAAGGTATGATTGGACTGAACCAAAAGCAAAAAAAATTTTTTTTCTCAAAGTGTCAATCAAAGTGATTAACACTTTGGTTGATAGCTCTTCAAAAATCAATTTCTTTTTTTTTCCTTGTCAAACAACTATTTTGTCTCATTTCAACGTTACAAATTGAATCTTTCCATTATTTTTTGCTCATTATCAATTTAATTATATTAATATTTTTAAAGTATTTTTCATTATTCAAAGCCTCAACTTGAAGTCATATAGGACCACATTCAACCTTATGGTGACATCGTCTCAACTTATAACTTTCGTTATAATTAGACTTTGTCATGTAATGTAATTTGTTCTAAAATATATAAAATTGTTGTGTTGAACTCGTTTGAAACTTTATCAAGTATTTAAAATGATCTGAAATTGGAAGGAAAAGAATGGCACTATTAAGAAATTTGCATTTTCTTTTTTACTATTCATCACCAAGAGAAACGATGGGGAACGAGAGGGTAACAGTTATCGAATGAAAGCCGAGAAATGTGATAAAATTATGTAAAGGATTAAATAATCATTGTTAATTTAGTTTGATCTATTTGTTAGCTATTAGCTAAATAGATGAAGTTAGCTTCATCTATTTGTATGTGAAAATATTTATCCCTGAGATTTGTCTATTGCATCGCAAGACCATTCATCGTTATGTAATTCAAATTATCAAATGTTTACATGATCCTTTACTTTGTTCATCCATCGAATGATCTGTAAATTCATTTCTCGGGTGTGAGAGTACAAGTGTGAGAGTATAAGTGTAAAAGTATATTTCAAGTATTTTAATATTGTCCATTACATTAAATTTCCACCAAGTATCACCTAATAGAGGTTATAATAGTGTAACTCATCGCTCTACGGATCTATTGGACTATCCACATCAAATAATTTCAAATTCAACAATGAGTCACACTATCAATGTTCGGCTAATTGGGACAGTGATTCAACAAATTTTTTCCAAATCCATTCAAACTCGATTATAGAAAGAAACAATTATGGATAGTTAGGTATCATCAACATTGTT